CATTAAGCAAAAGAAAGTTAAGGGGCCTACAAGGGAAATTCCATTCCTAGAGATAAAATGGCAAGATGGGCATTGCCACATCCCAGTGGAGGTGATAAACAAGATAACAACCATGGCCCTACCAACCTCTAAAAAGGAGACTCAGTCTTTCCTGGGCACTGTGGGGTTCTGGAGGATACACATCCCGAACTACAGCCTGATTGTGAGCCCTCTCTACCACGTAACCCGTAAGAAGAATGATTGTGAATGGGGCCCTGAGCAACAACAATCCTTTGAACAAATTAAGTGGGAGATTGCCCAAGCAGTAGCCCTTGGGCCAGTCCGGGAAGGGCAGGAGGTCAAGAACATGCTCTACACCGCAGTTGAGGAGAATGGCCCTAGCTGGAGCCTCTGGCAGAGAGCACCTGGGGAGACCTGAGGCCGACCTCTAGGCTTTTGGAGCCGGGGATACAAAGGCTCTGAAGCTAATTACACACCAACTGAGAAGGAGATACTGGCAGTGTATGAAGGAGTTCGGGCTGCCTCAGAAGTGGTCGGCACTGAAACACAGCTCCTCCTGGCACCCTGACTGCTGGTGCTGGGGTGGATGTTCAAAGGAAAGGCTTCCTCCACACATCATGCAACAGATGCCACATGGAGTAAATGGGTTGTGTTGATAACACAATGGGCTCGAATAGGAAACCCCAGCTGCCCAAGGATATTAGAGGTGATTATGAACTGGCCAGAGAGCAAAGATTCCAGGATGTCACCAGAATAGGAGGTTACACGTGCTAAGGAGGCACCACCATATAATGAGCTGCCGGATGAGGAGAAGCGATATGCCCTGTTCACTGATGGGTCTTGTCGCATTGTGGGAAAACATCGACAGTGGAAAACTGCTGTGTGGAGTCCCACACGACGGGTCACTGAAGCTGCTGAGGAACAGGGTGTATAGAGCCAGTTCTCAGAGGTGAAAGCCATCCAGCTTGCTTTGGATATTGCTGAGCAGGAAAAGTGGCCAAGGCTCTACCTCTACACTGACTCATGGGCAGTGGCAAATACCCTTGGAAATGGCTGCAGCAATAGAAGCAGAACAACTGGCAACGTAAGGGTAAAACTGTCTGGGCTGCTGAAGTATGGCAGGACATTGCAGCCCGTGTGGAAAACCTCATTGTGAAGGTGTGCCATGTGGATGCCCATGTACCCAAGAGTCGGGCCACTGATGAACATTGACACAACCAGCAGGCAGACCAAGCTGCTGAGATCAGAGTGGCTCAGGTGGACTTGGACTGGCAGCACAAAGGTGAACTGTTCATAGTCTGGTGGGCCCATGAGACCTCAGGCCACCAAGGTAGAGATACAACATACAGGTGGGCTCGAGATCAAGGGGTGGACCTCACCATTGACACCACTGCAGAGATCATCCACAGATGTGAGATGTGTGCTGCAATCAAACATGCCAGCAGGTGAAGCCCCAGCAAAATGGAGAGTGATGGCTGAAATATAGATATGGAGAGGCCTGGCAGATCGACTACATCACACTGCCACAGACCCGCCACAGGAAGCGCCACGTGCTCACAATGGTGGAAGTAACCACTGGTTGGCTGGAAACTTACCCAGTACCCCACGCCACTGCCCGGAACACCATCCTGGGCCTTGAAACCCAAGTCCTGTGGTGACACGGCACCCCAAGAGAATTGAGTCAGACAATGGGACCCACTTCCGAAACAACCTCATAAACGCCTGGACAGAAGAACACGTCATCGAGTGGGTCTACCATATCCCCTACCACGCACCAGCTTCTGGGAAGATCGAGCGCTACAATGGACTGTTAAAAACCACATTGAAAGCACTGTGAGGTGGCACCTTCAAAGACTGGGACATGCATCTAGCAAAGGCCACCTGGCTAGTCAACACAAGAGGATCTGCCAGTCGAGCTGGCCCAGCTCAGTCAAAACCTCCACGTGCTGTAGATGGGGATAAAGTCCCTGTGGTGTGCATGAGGAATATATTGGGAAAAATGGTCTGGTTTAGTCCTACACCAGGCAAAGGTAAAGGCAAACACATCTATGGGATTGCTTTTGCCCAAGGACCTGGGTGCACCTGGTGGGTGATGCAGGACAATGGAGAGGTCTGATGTGTACCACAGGGGGACTTGATTCTGGGTGAGAACATGCTGTGAATTATGCTGTGCCTTTGTAAATTGTTATTTTGTTATTGCTAACTGCTAAATGGCAGCTGGACATGATGCAGATGGTATAGAATAAAGGGGTGGATTATGTCCTGGTTCAGCTAGGATAGGGTTAAGTTTCCCCAGCAGAGAGAGAGGGGGAAGGGATCTCCCGCCGGGTTATTCATACTATGCTGACATCAGGTCCGGGCACGGGAGCACGGGAACTTTTCCTTTATAGTTTTGGTCGTGGGAAGCACAGGGCTGTCTGTATCCATTATGGTATCTCTCTGTATATCTTTTGTCTTGTTTACTGTTACTACTGCTTGTTGTTTTTACCATTTCTACTGTTGTTGTTCAGATTGTTTATCACACTGTTGTATTAAACTACTTCTTATTTTAACCCGGGGTTTGTGCCTCACTTCCAGCCTGACCAGCTGAGGGTGGGGGAGGGGCAACGGCAACATGGTCTCGGGTCCCATCAGGGCCTAAACCAACACACTCGTGCAGACATATCTCTGGATATGGGTATTGTCATTATGGTATAAATTTTGTAATGGACAATTATTTAATTCATCAATAATAAAATAATTACTAGAGCAGAGAGATAACGTGGCTTTGACTAGACCCAGCCCTTTTCCTCAGCAGTGGAAACTACTATTTCTACTATAGTAGCACAATAGCAGAAACTGAGACAAAATACCTGGTAGGTGAGGCACTGATTTGGCACGGAAGAACATGGCAAAGCAGTGTTTTGAATCTTAGTCTCTCACAGCCTCAGTGACCCATCAACCAATCAGCTATCCAGTCTTTTGAGGTAAGAATCTGCCTTTTCATCAGCAAATAAGATCTTGGGTTTGGTTTGGTTCAGAGCAAGAAAGTATTTCAGAATCAGAAATTTTATTAGCAGGCTATTCTCTCAGGTTAGGGTTATTTTCTGCTATAATCTCTAGCAGAGGGTAGTGAAATTGATTTGCTGCTCTCAATTTGTTTTACTTGGTTTACAGCAAAGCAGTTGTGTAGACAATTTGTCTGTGAGGTTGTCTGTTGACTTGTTCTTGAAAAGTTATGTCTCTAGGTAAACAATGAGCAAGTATTTTTGCATTCTGTCACATCCTCTGTCTCTTAAAAGATACCTGCATTGTATCTAGATTTTCTTCCAAGAGATTTGAAAAGATTAGAGTATCCTTTTTATGATTATCTTGTAAAAACTATGATATGCATCAAATATAAAAAGTTACCTTAAAAGTACCCCTTCAGCCTTTCTATTTCACTTCTATTAGTTTGCACAGTTCTTGTGCTTTCCACAATCTTTTTTGCTTGTGTTGGGAGGGCTCCTCTGAATTTTCATGAGTTCATATATCGTGATCTTGTTAATAAAAGTTCCAGTCAAGGTGATCTGTTTCTATTTCTTTCTGAATTTTAGGACAAAGCAAGAGGATCGCAGTTGGAAAAATTGATTATTTTCTCACTCAAGGCAAAGGGAAGAGAATAATGAGCCTGACTTCAGGTTACATGAGAACTGCATGTTGAGCAGGACTAATCAAGAAAATGGAATACACAGCTGAGTGTGAAGGTCTAGAAAAATACTCATATCTAACATCACCACTTAAAACTACTCTGGTCAGTCTGTGTAGACAGCACAGAGTAGCAGGTCACTCAGGAAGTACAGTTCAGAATTTTGTAGCTTCTCCTGGTTCCTTCTGATCAAGAGACTCTATATCACCTCTCAAATTCTAGAATGGTGCTTTCAGTTATCCACAGGAAAAAGATGGGTGAAGAAATGCAATGAAAGGCAGTTTACTCTCAAGGCTCATGATTACAGTTGTAAATAGAGTTTTATTTTGAAGGATGCTTGTTGACTTTTGCTCCATTCAGATGAGATTTTTTGTGCTTGATGGAGGAAAAAGAACCAAACATGTATTGAACATGAAAATGGAAGAGAGTCAAAGACTGAAATGGGGAGACAAAGATAATACATGTGGCAACTTTTAACAAAGGCAGATAAGCTATGCTGCAACTTATCCACAATGTTAGGAAAAGATGGTTTCCTCATTACCTTCTTCCTTTTACTTTCTTCTTGAAAGACTCTCAACTTATGTTGTACAAATGCTATATCACTATCCTTTTTGTGCAAGGCAGGGCAGTCAGGATTCTCTTTGGCTGAGCCACTACCTTGTCTTTGTAGGTGGCGAATGTGGATTGTTCTGAGCACATGAAGCTGAAAAGATCTCTGCTCTTTCAAGGACTCATCTTACTTGCACTGATCCATCTTTCAAAGCTCAATTCGTAATCTCCTGTGCCTGATACCCTAGTACCCATATGTTTGGCAAGGTTGAATTTCCTGACCATACTTACTGCTCCCACTTGAAAATCTATTCTTTAGCTCTACCCCTGGCTCTTGGTCCATGGAAAGGAAGATTCTCAGGAATCACAGAGCTTCAAGAAGGGATTGGAAATATTCATCCTAGTTTACAAACATTAGTGTAGAGGTGTATGTGGGGAAATTCTAGCTGGGGTAAATGGAATTTGTTGAGCCCCCTCATACTGGTTTTCCACAGAGGCAGATTTTTTTCTGAAGAGGTAGACGATAGAAGATGGGGATCACAGTTTCTGTTTTTTTTCTGGGTTTTTTGTTTCTCAACTGTGGCAGTTTCGATACATGACAGACATCACGAAATGTTTTTTCTTTATGACTGTTTTTTCTCTACTACTTCCTCAATCTCGTGGGGGTGGGGATGTACAGAAGAAATCCTCTGACACTGAGACATTACAAAAAAGATCTGAGGCCTTGTAAAGGAGTCTTGATTCACACAGGAAGAATTACTTTGACTGTGTTCATCCTACCCAGCCAGGAACTGCCCAAGAAGTGGAGGAATAGAACTTAGCCATCTGGTTTAAGAAGCAGAAAACCATGTCTCTTCCCCGACAGCTGCGAGAAAAGAGGTAATGTTTCTCTTCCTCCTACCACCTCCCCAAAAGCCTCCGTGTGACTGTTACGATCTGTTTATTTAATTTGGATGCAAGCTTCTTTGATGATTCTAAAAGACTTCTTGTTATTGTAGCTTCTAAACTATTAGGCTGCTCGGTGTGGAGCAGGCCATTTCTTAAGTTGGAGTGGACTTTCTTCTTTTCATGGGGAATATTCACCACCTAGGACAATAATGGATCATTGTCCCCTTTATAGCTGCAGTTTCCATTTTACCAGGGTTTATGGTATGAGTGTTTCTGATATGACTAATCGTATCTCTTGATCTCCATAACCACATCACTCTTCACAGTAAGTGGTAGTATTTATGGTGTTGTGGGTGGTGCTGATTCATGTCATTCTCCTTGTACAGCAAGCTATTGCAAGACTTTGCATCATTACTTCAGCCTTCCAGATGGGCTACACATTGTGGAAGCCCCTGCTTGGGATATTCTCCTAGCAGAATAAACTGAGCCAACTGCCATGGTTTTTGTATTATCAGAATATTTAACATTATGTCAGCTTGGCATTTCTTAGATGATCTTTTTAAAGTTTCTCTCTACCTCTTTTGTTATTCTTTTTTTTACTTTTACCTCATTCTTGGTCTTTTTAATGTAAGTGTTTATATAAATACCACTCTAAAAACACTGAGTAGTAAGATTGAAGCAAAGATTAAATTTTCTTCTGTGTGACAAAGGTGTTGTACCAAGGAGAAGGTTCCAGAGGAAGAAGCATCTGCCAATCCATGCTGTTTTATTGTGTGGACAGTATAGATAAGAAACATGAGAGTGTGGTCATATGGCTGCTCTGTAGGTGTTCCTGCAGGGATCCTTCCTTCTCTCTTGCTTCAAATCCAATACTTTTTAGGATTTGCAAAGCTTATTCTAATCTTGCCCACTATCATGTGTTCTTTCACACATTTTTGACACTTTCAAACTAGTATCTTTGTGCTTGCCTTCAGGTTAACTGCTGTGACTGGGAGGTTTCCCTGTAAATACTTGCTAGATTTCTTGTACTTTTTTCAAAGTCTAAGAGTCTGCTTTACTGTGTTGTCTACAAGAAAACTTGAAAACATGTTGACAACTGATACAGATACCACTAGTTATGATATAGACCAATACTATGTCTTTGCTTTGCTTTTTTTTCTGTTTGTACTTATCCTTCTGTGGTCTCTTTTCTTATATGTATAAGGTACATTGTATGCATCTTACACATAGAGTGTAAGCTTTTTAAGAATTAGGTTCGTGATGTCAGTTTCTACAGCACCTAGCACAACAAGCTCTTTTCTCAGAACTGTTTCCTATTCCCTACAGTAATGCAGTAATAATGACACCATAAATCATGGTATATAATGATTTCCTTAGAATAAGAGATACTGCTGCAAAATTATTATTGTATGTCTACTAGATGCTGTAGGGAGGATTAAGAATGCATCCACAGTTGATCATATTTCTCAGGAAAAGCTTATGAGCTCAAGTGTTTCTTTTGTAGTCCTGCTACTCTAGCAAGCTTAAGAATGATAGGGTTGTTTTTCAGGCTTGATGAATCTTCACAATGGTCACTGACTTGTCCTGAACTTATAGTAACTTGACATATCAAGGTCAGACCTCCAGAGGAAGAGAATGACACCATGAGTTTCTAGCTTCTTGGTTTTAACACTAGATAATGTGATGTTGCCTAACTATCTTTGTTCTGTATGGCACGGAGACCTCCAAAAGCTAATGCCAGTATGAGTAATATAAATCTTTTGTTCTTGCTTCACAGTGATTTTGACCAGCTTCCAGATGATGTACCTGTTTCAGCTAACATTGCAGATATTGAAGAGAAGAAAGGCTTTACTAGTTATTACGTAAGAAAGGAGTTTTATCCTGTCTCTATACACCCTCATCTGTGACTGGTTTGATTCTGGGAAGCAAAATGCAGTTAATATGGTGTAATTGCTTTCTGGCATGAATAGTTCTGTGTGGAGAACTTAGTGCTGCTTTTTTCTGGAATAGTCAATCACAGATTTAGCCTAAAAATTTATTGCTTGGGTGAAATGGGACAAAGATATCCTCTAACATTGCTTGTTTTATAAATTCTTACCTAATTTCTGATTTATTTTCTGTTAGAGTGCTGTACCTTTGGTGAAGATAGAGGAAAAGGAATTCAAAGGCAGTAGGAGGACAGGGTCATTATTCCACGGTACTGGCAAGTTAAGATGCTTCCATCTCCACAGAAGGTAGCATATTAATAAGTCATGAAAGAGCACACAGGAAAGGAATAGTAGGGAAGAGCACTATGAGATCGTCTGAGGAGGGATTTTGGATAAGAGAGCTCAGTCTGACTTCTGCTTTTGCTGGAGATACTGCTCATAAAACCTTCCCATTGCAGTATGCAGGTGTTACTGTGGAATATACTGATGTTTGGTTCCTCTATGTTTTCTGAAGGATCTGACTGCAATGTGACTCAGAGTTCAGTGCATGGAAATCATGGCCTCCTTTAGAGCAAAGAAGTTTTGTCAAGAGATAAGAAAAAAAGTAGTAGTTCAAGGAGGTCAGGTCATGTTTTCTGAAATTGTGTACTTTTTGAAGTCAAACAAGACTCTGAAAATCAGTTAATTTAGATGTCTGTCTATAGATTTAGATGTCCAAAGCATCCTATAGTAAAATATCTGTATTTACTTCCTTAATCTGTTTTTTTGTCACTGAGGGAAGGTGTGTAAGCATAGAGTGGCATCTAGTCATTTCAGGTTTCCTTTGAAGACTATGTAGTAGAAAGCAGCCACAGGATCATGATCCATGGGAAAGCTGGATCCACACATATACCACACTGTTTAGTGCTTTCTTGTTATTTCTTAGTACTTGAGTCTGCAGATGCATAACTGAAGGCTTGCTTTCCACTCTGCCCCTAAGACAATATTCCCATTACTGGAGTTCTGATATTATGTTCCTACTATATGCCTCACTTTCATCTGGTAAATGTTGACAAGTGTGAACATCAGCCTGAATCCCTTTTCTCTCTTTCAGATGTTTGTCATTGAAGTAAAGGTTAAAGGTGGTGGCAGATACCTGATTTTCCGACGCTATCGTCAGTTCTATGCCTTGCACACCAAACTAGAGGAGAGATATGGGGCAGAGAGCAAGAATAGCCCTTTTACCTGCACACTCCCCACATTGCCAGGTAAGCTGTCAGTACCAAATCTGCGCATGATTAGCAGATTTTTCAGCCCCAAGCCTGCCCTAAAGAGTGCATTGTAGGGAAGTGTTTGTGACAAGGAACTAGTTCCATTGACAATCACTTCACCTGTGGTAAGGTTAATTTAGAAACTTAAAATGCTTTAGAATATATGTATTTTCTTGGAGATCCTACTTTTGTCTGATTGCTTCATTTCTCTGACAGCCTCAATTTTTTTTTTTTTTTCCAATAACTGCCACATGCTTTATATTTTCCAGGAAAAGTTTATGTTGGGGCCAAAAAGGAAATTGCTGAGAACAGGATTCCTATCCTAAATGCCTACATGAAGGTAAAACTTCATTTTAAGGTAGAGATTGCACTGAGCACTGCAGATACTTACCTCTTGAAATCAGCTAAGAGACAGTACTGTTGTAGTCCTAGGTATATATTTCTGTTTTCTGAAGACAGTGTCCACAGTGTGGGTCAACCAGCAGTGCTATTCCCCAGATTGTTCAGACTCTAAGATCTGTTGGAGTATGTAGTTCACAAAGGCTCACTTCCTGCCTTCATATAAGATAGATATTCTTACAAAAAAAAAACCCTAAGGTGTATGAGGAAATGGTGAATTTCCACATGTTGCGTGAATATGGAGTTGGCATGTGCACCTAAGGGACTAGTCGAGTAGGGTGGGCTGCTGGTTGTACCTGCTCTACAGTGAAGATGCAGCCAGTAGCATCAAGGAGAGAAATTTTTTGTGTGCAGGTTAATTGAAGACCTGACTTTAAATCAGTAAAAGTGTGAAGCACTAGCCAAGACTTTCCGTACTTAAGATTGGCTTCTTTCCAGAGTCATTCATGTTCTGAAGGGAAACACAAAGCACAATTTACTCCTGCAGTAAATCAGGCACAAAAAGAGTGAAGCAATACATTAGCCAACTCGAGGAGTAAACAGCTGTTCAGCTGTGTCCTGCTGAGTGAGAAGGGAGAGGCGGGAGATTTCTGGCAGTAATGAATATCCTTTATGATCCTGTAGGTCAGAGATGCATATTTGTTACATGTAAATAAATAGAGAATTGGTTTCTCCCACTGTTACACTCTGCTTCCTACTTGCTCTTGGCGCAGAACCTACTCTGCCTACCCATTTGGGTGTTGATGGATGAAGAGGTACGACTGTTCTTCTACCACTCAACCTTTGATAGTGAACAGGTGCCTCACAGATTGAGACGGCTTCGCCCACGGACACGCCGAGTGTAAGTGATTGGCTTGTTTTTTCACCATTGCTTGATGTAAGAGATGCTGTCCTGTTCTGGGGGGAGAGAGATTTAGGATCACCACTGTGTTCCCCAAGTGAATCCAGGAAGTCCTAATAGGATCTTTGTGGTAGAGTGAACACAGGGTATTTCTTGTTTTCAGTAATCTCAATTTTCTGAAGTGAATGTGGTACTTACATTGAAGGAAAATTCCAAAGTGAGAGTATAGCTTGCTTTTAAAAAGAATGCTGCTCAGCTCTATCTGTTGATAATTCTTTAATGGCAGTATTTATTATAATGAGCAGAATACACAGGCCAGTCTTAAGGACACAGTTTTTCACCACTGAGGTCAGTGTGAGTTTTAGCACTGAATTTAATGAGATCTGGTTCAGACACTAAATGAAACTGAATATTTAATTTGTTACTGTCCTTTGTCTAAACAGAGGCCTGTCCTACATAGCAGCATTGACACCCCTTTGGAGAACTGCTAAGTAGATGTCGTATTTCATTACCCTTCAGACAAATTAATTCTCCTTTCAACATAACAAAGATGAACACACTTTTCACTTACCTCAAACAGTGCAAAGACTGCATGTGTGTATGTATTCCTGGATGTGTGTATGACGGTGGAGTTTGAACTGAATGTCATGAATGCTAGAAACATGGATGCCCAGAAGGCAGAGTAGGGAGGCTGAGCAGTGCTGTGGAAGAGAGGTTGAGGATACTGACTGTATTGGAAATTCCATCTGTTCTCAGCAGCAGATATCATCAGATTGCTGCTGCTCTGCACTGAAACTGAGAGAACTAGGGTGATGTTGTTGCATTTATTTACTTCAGTGCCGCACACAGATTCGCATGTGGTTTCTCCAGTGATCTATGGCTTGCTGGCCTCTTAAATAATGAAAAGGCAGACATTGTACTACTGATCATGTAATATTTATGATGACTGGAAAGACATATTTACTTCCCTATTGTCTCCTTTCTTTGCAGTAAAAGCATTTCACCTCAAGTGCCTATTTTTGACCGCATGGCAACACCACGGGCTGAGGTGAGTACTCTTCACAATCTATCATAGGATAGGCGATTAAACTCTTTCACTTTTGCATCTCATCAATCAAGTTGTCTTTTCCAATTAGATCTTGGGGAAAGAAGGGAAAGTGAAATCAATGCAGGGAAGTAATTGATTTTAGTAACAGGGAATGAAATAAAGAATAGGAAGAAGTGTTCTGTTCCTCTTTACTTGAGTAATAAGAAGGTCCACTGTGAAGTCAGAATCACCCAAGGTTCAAAACCGAGACACATGTACAGCTTACTGCCAAATGGTCCACATTTACATAGTGATATCTGTAGATTAAATTTAAAACAAGCACAATCTTCAGTCTCATTGACTTCAGCATATGTTTAAAAGCTTTGCAGGTGAGGCATCTTAGTATTTTTTGTAACATAAGCATTCTACTAAAAAGTGCCTATACCCTAATTTTTTGCCATATACTGCCTTGGTATTAAACATGTGGAACTACTTTGTAACCAGTACTTGTCTGAGCATGGTCTTGCTTCCTGGAACATGTGACTTGCCATGTAAGATTAAACAAACCCCATGCAAGTGCTTTGAGGTTTGTTGGTTTTGCTTTTTACACTGAGTATGGCAGATCTTGGATCCGTCATATCTCCTGGGTTTTATCTCTTAATTTATTAGTATTGAATATACCTACCAAAACTTTTCAATAGATAAAATGGCTTTTGTAAGAGACATATGTTAAGTAGACATATATTAAGTAGACATATGAACTAGTACCATAACTGTAGCCATTGTCTTTTTTTTTTTTTTTAATTAGGAGAACCCTTGGCATTAAGAAGAGCAAAAAACCCCATCTCAACACAGAATAAAGAACACCTTTTCATTTTTGCTCCTCTAAGATTATTTAAATGGTTACCATGTTCTCTAAGACAACTGGGGAAATGTGAATTTTTGATAACTTGGCTTCTTTAGTTATTCAAGAATATCTTGTTAGGCTGGTGGCATGTGCTTACTGTGCTTACCTCCTTTTTTTTTTTTTTTTTTTTTTTTTTTGGGCATCTAAGTTCCATTTTAACTACATGATAATTTCCCAGACATCTCCAAATCTCTCAGTTCAGCATACAGGCCTCATATGTAGGTGTAAAAACAACAGTTAGTCACCATTAAATTGGGACACAACACTTCCACAATTTTTTAAGGCTCTTTGTGATATTTTTCAGCAAATCTGAAAGCTGAAAAACTGCAACTGGAAATCATACATATTTTTTAATTTCTCAGGATTTCAAATTTTCAAGTTGTCAATTGTCTTCAGCTCTGTTGACTTACTTGATTTTAAGTGTTTTCAACTACTTTATATTTCTCTGGTGCTCAGTGCCCTGCCACTTTAAGAATCCTAGCATGTAGCTCTCTGATCTGTGTTTATCCTAGTGCTTTCACTACTTCTTGAAAGCATTTTTGTGTGTGCCGATTAGGAGAAGAAATTGTGAGAACTTCAGACTACGGTCATATATACGGTCTTATTTCAGAAACACATCTGTGATGATGAAGAGCATACTATCATGCTGCGTTATGCTTTCACCCCAAGAACAGAACGATTCATTTTTGTAGTTCTGTGAATTAGTAATTTCAGTGTTATACTTTCCATAGGCACTGTTTGATTTTTCTGGAACCAATAAACTGGAACTCAGCTTCAAGAAGGGAGACTTGATCTATCTACTCAGCAGAGTAAACAAAGACTGGTTGGAGGTAAGACTGCAATACCAGTACTCAATTATTAGCATACCTTGAAATAGATGAGTAGAAAGGGCTCTCCTGGTCCTTGGGATGAGTCTCCTCCTTTCAAGGATAAACTGTATCATAATCAGGTCTTACTGTCAAGAATTCAAATTTGGAGCCAAAGATTTATTTTTCCTTGATGGTTTTTAGCTTACAAATTTTGTGCCCTCTAGACTTCAGTTTTCATTTGCATTTGCTTCTGTGGAATGTTTTTTAATTCTTTGGAAGTGATTAGAACATGAAAAGGCCACAGAAAGGAGACGGAAACTCCATTTCAACAATTGGTTTCTTGCCTCAGGGTGAGTTGTTGTATACTTCATGCTTCATACCACAACACACGTCAGCCTGATTAGAGAGAACTTGGGCAATGCAGCAATGTTCTGAAAAAGGATGGGGAGAACACACTGTGTGTTTGCTGATATGATATCTCTGCTTGCTCAAACACCACAGCCTTTCTTGGTAACCATCTGACTTTTGTTTTTTACACACTGTTTCACTCCCCTGCCTTTTATTTGACTACAGAATTGTATATTCTTTTTGTAGGGATGCCATCAGGCCACTTCCATAGCCTTTTTTTTTTTTTCTTATAGTAGAAAAATTCCTATGTTTCCATGGAAATTAATTGAAATTAAGAACTTACTGTATGTAGCCAAAATGGCATGGTTTTCTTCATTCTAACACCACCTATCATTCCAGGGAACAGCTGATGATGCCACTGGGATTTTCCCATGTGCTTTTGTGAAGATCATAAAAGATTTACCACAGCAGGAAGACACAGTTAATAAAGTTCGCTGTTATTACCATGACGAGACTGTGAGCACTATCAAGTAATATGAAAAAAGTGTTCCAGTTTACTGCTGAAAAAATGCTGACAGTTCTTTTTTCATGATGTGTAATGATTAGGTTTGTTCTTGTTATAGGGATATCTCAGTGGAAGAGGATCTGAGCAGCATTCCATCATTCAAAGACCTCATGGAATTGATGAGGTACAATGCAAGCAGTTAGTTGTTTAATATCATATAAACATTTATCAAGTTCCTTCCAGTCCTGTATTTTCCATATTGTACATGGTCATCACCATGTTTTGGGTGTGGAACACTTTCCAAGTGTCCTGAAGAAGTTGTACTTTGACTTGGTCCAGAGCCAACTGTGCAGACACTAGTCTGCCTTGGGATTGTCAGTAAATATGGAATGCCACATGCTTCTAACTCAATTATGCTGAGTAGAAGTTTCCATTTCTTGTTCTAATACCAGAGCCATATCCTCATGCAAGGACCTTTGTCTAATATACATCCTTAGGATGCAGGAGACTGCCTTCTAACACCTGTTAAACTAGTGTTAAACTGGATTAATCTAGTGTTGAATATCAAAACATTAGAATATCAAATATTAGTAATGGAATACCTGTGCTAATATTCTTCCATTCCTTAACCTGCCTTCCCCTCAGAAGAAGCAATCATAGGTAGGCAAAAGTGGGTAGTAACTACAGTCAAATCTTATGCATGAGAATTTTAACAAGCTCATAGGTTAATTGTGCCCTGCATATGGTTTTACTAGAAATGGCTCTTTGTTCTCACAGATTTCTTGGCTTGAACACAACACAGCATGAATATGGCTGTATGATTTCTAGTACTAGCTGTATCAAGAATGCCAAGACACCCAAGGTTTTGTGTGGCTTTTAGCAGAATGAATTATATTTCCAGTCTACTCTTCATCATGTAGCACGTCTCAGGCATTCCTTGATTTGTGGAGATCAATCCATTTTTTTCCTACCAGGCAGGAGTTTGACCAAGATGACATTGTTTTGAATTACCGGGACCATGATGGTGATCTGATCCGGTTGCTCTCCGATCAGGATGTTGAACTCATGGTGTCTCAGAGCAGAAAAAGGCCCTCTGAGAAACATTTCTTTCCTTGGAAGTTGCACATCACTCACAAAGATGACTTGGGTGTCTACAACACTAGTCCAGGCATAGATGCTACTCAAACAGTAAGAGCAACATAAGTGCTATATAGAGGTGTTCTGGTAGGTAACTATACAGTCCTCTAATCCCTTTATCCAGACATTTTCCTTTAACAGACCTTTGAAGTGAGCTTGAAAAGAGTAATTTTCAGTAATATATTACCTTTCAATGTAAAATCTGTACTTATTTAGCTGCTTCAGCTTTTTAGCACCCCTCTGTAATAGAAACACTCAGAGCAGAGAAAGTGAGGAACAGAGAAATAAAATCACTGGCCTTATTCACAGAGCAAGTCAGCATTAGCTTGCAATAGAGGTTTAGTGTCCTGAGCCCCAAGACCTGCTCTAATCTCTGTTCTTTCTCACAGAGCTAATTATTTGTCCAGAATGTTTTTCTTAAGCTTTTTTCCTAAATAGCCATAATTTTATCTTCGCTTCCTGATATGAAGGTTTGTGTGCCAGTTCTTAGGAATGCTTTATTATTTCTGTCACATGGAAGTCTGGGCTTTCAGAGTTTGCTTGGGAAGCATCAAGAAAACTTTTCATATTTCAGTGAAGAAACTGTAGCCCACCTTTGCTTTCTTCTTTCCACTGGCCGATATTTTGAATTCAGTGAATCAAACCTAGTACACATGTAGTGTTCCTCATAGATGTTTTTGTAATTGTACAGAATACTTATTTGTGCATTCTGGAAAAAAATTGTGATGCTTATTCAAATAGCAATTTCTTTTCTATCTATCTATCTTCTGCTTTCTGACATATCAAAAAGTAGAACTAACAAGAAATTACTGTATCAGACTCTTCATCAAATAAAGTTGCATATGAGTTTATTTTATCAGTTTCTATTAAAAAGATTTTGTGGGGTGGTGAATAATTCAGCTCTTTTTTTTGGCTTGAAAGTAAGATAATTTTGAAGCAGAGTTTGAATGTTACTTATTCAGCTTTCCATAAGGAGGAGTTAATTATTGATTAAAAAAAATTATCTTGCAATAGTTTTTTAATGGTCATGCAATTAAAATATTCTTTAACAAATTTACAGCTGCCTGTACATACAAGTTATATATGTTTTACAGAAATTGTTTGATACCTTAAATACTGTATTTTAAAAATATCATGCAGTCATGGTGTTAAAAAGATACCACCAAGTATAACTGGTAAAAAATATGAAGTCAAAGGAGTTTTCAAACATGCTTTGGATTCTACTGTTAGTTTCTGTGGCATTAAGCTACAATTCCTCATTTTAAAAAAATCTTTGTCCTTGACATGCTGCTAAAATTTATACAGACAAAAGAAAAGATTAACAAGTATTTGAAGGTACTAAGAAACAGTTAAGTAATGATGCATGAATAACTAACCTGCTCCTTCCAAAACTGGCAACATTTTTTCTTTATCCTTAAACCTGTGGGTTTTTTTGTTTTGGTTTGTTTTTTTGTTGGGTTTTTTTTTGGATTTTTTTCTTTAAGAAGTGCTTAAGATCTTTAAGATGTGTTTTAAGATGTGCTACAGGCCATATCTGCTTACCATCTACAAAGGTTCCACCTGAAGAACCCATGTATATTAAATTTCAGAGGTAACTTACATATACAGAAGAGACAGTGATGGAAGGTTTTAACTGACATTATTTTACCAAAATGTTACAAAATGTAACTTCACACTTCAAAGGCTTTGTAGCAATGAAGTTTAGGAAGGACGTGAAGCAATATACAATGATAATGTTAGTAATCCTACACTTTGTGATACACAAGATACACACTGTAAATTTGAAACCCAATTGGCATGCGTGGCCTGCAAAGCTTCTGGTGTGTAGGATTACTTGTTACTTGTTCCTGGAGTTCAACAGACCAAATAACATCTGAAGATTTTCACTGACTGCTAGATGCTGTGTTGTAACCTACAACTCAGCAATTCTGTTTGAAGATGGAGGAACTGTTTGAGTGAGGAAGATGAGGGTGAGAAAATGTCTCCTGGGAAACTAGTAACCTGTTTTCTATGGGTAGGGGAAGAACATACCTAAACATACTGCCCTCTGAAAATTAGAGCAGGAAAATTCCTTTCTGCCTTTATGCTGTAAAGCAGAGTAAATTCTGACTATCCAGCAAAGATGCATATTCCCCTCCTAATCTGCAGTTTTTATATGCACACCTCCTGATTGTCCCAATGACACGCAATTTCCTTAGATACTCGCATATTCTCCTTCTTGCTCTGCATGTTTCCCTTATTCACAGTATACATTTTTGGACTTGTTTATTGATGTAGTTCTTGTGAGACCATAACTGTGCTAACTATGGTTTTGGTCAGTACTACAGGGATTTAGAGAAGGTGTAGTAGCGGTGCACAACAGACAGATTCTGGCCGTTACATTCTGTGCCTTCCTGTGCTCTCATCTTAATCCCCCCATAGGTTACTCCTGAGAGCACAAATCCAAGTGTGTTTTTCCATTATGGCTATCTAACTTTCCTAGACAACTTATTATTGGAGACTGCTAGTCTGAGTTTAAAAGCTGGATTTAAAACAACATGGCTACTTTGGATTTTGGATAATTCAGGTCAGCTTTTCTCACCAGTTTTCTTTTGTTTTCTCTATGTAACATAATTCATATAATTTATTATTAATTGTTGTTGAAATTGGTAAAACTTACTTTTAAAAATATTACTTAAATGTATGGGTTACAGAGATAAAGGTAGTTTCCCCCCGCCCCATACTAATGAACATAAAGTACAGAATGATCCCTGCCTTGAAGACTGTCCAGCCTAGAGTAAAGCAAGAAACAGAGTAAAAACCAGGAATTCTTTCTTAGTCTTTCTCACTTCAGCTGCAATCATTTTTATTTTTTTTCTGAAAATGCATGAGTCCCATGATCTGGTAATTGTTAACATACTGACTGGCAATGACAAACTTCCTTCCCCTCCCCTCCTAAACAGTCCCAACTAAGTGCTTTGGGGGCTAAAATAGGAAGTACAGACTTCCTATTTTACAGGCAATTACACAGACTTTCCTTGAAAGGGTGTGGTCTGCTTCTTGAAAGTGGCATTTGAGGTGCATAGAAGATATAGCAGATATTTTGAAGACTTACTTGCCACTTGTAGTTGCTTTATTCCTTCTGTCTCCAGTTCTAGGGAAGTGTGGGTTTGCTGGTTTCTGCATCAGAGGATTCTGATGCTGTGGGGGTAGGCTGGACAGGGAGAGTCGCCCATCAGGTTGAATCATCTGCCTCACAGACAGCTCTGGATCCAGATAAGGGAACTGCTTCCTTTCTGGGGAAAGCAAAATGGCAGAGAGTGCTCTTAAACAAGGGCTTGTGAGTCATTTAGGCATTAATTAGCTGTAACAATTATCCAAGGGCTCAGCTAGCTGCTTCTAGTGTAAGGAAGTGATATTCAGGAATCTGAAAGTCAGTAGGAATTTAAAAGGCGTTTTCTCCATGCTCCCCTAAAGTAGAAGAGAGTCTCAGCTCTGTAATATACTTCAGTAGGTGAGTTTATTATACTTTTGAGCAATGAGAGATGTCCAAAAGGACTTGAATTCCAGTATTGGACAATATGGTGTGTGATCTTTGAACTACTCAATCTACTCTCAATCTCAACAATTACAAAAAAATTTTTTTTTAAAATATTATTTCTTCAGTATTATTTCTACAATTTGCAACTTGTTTGGGGAGCAGCTGGAAAAGTGGCATTTTGAAGAGAAATTTGAAAGTGAATAAATATGAAAATTCAACCCCTATAGCTCCCAGGAGCTATGTGGTTGAGGATAATATTTTTAAGGAAAGGTAAAAAACAGAATACCATTGCGGTTTGTTATGAAGACCGAGCATGAAGAGCAGAAGGATGACTGAATTTGAAGTTTGAGTTCTCTTCACAGAGTAGGATTTTTTCCTGTTGCTACTCAGCTGAAAGAATCCTTTCACTTCCTTGGAAACGCGCATTTACTTCTTCATTCTTTGCTCATATTGCAAGCTCACACAATAAGAAGATGTGGATTTTGTTATACAGTAAACACTCGGTAGAAATTCTTTCTGAATGTCACTTCAAAACAGAGCCTAAAGAAGTTCCCTAATTCAGTTTTACTTCTCTTTATGTGAAATGAAAAGAAGAAGATCCACAACAAGCAGAGGAAGAGAGTAGCCAGTGTACAATGAAAACAATTATCTTCTGAATTAGGATCAAGCTTGTGCACAGAGGACAGTATGAACACAAAAGAGATTTTTATCCTTCTGCTGAATCTGTATTTGGTCTTCAGTGTCCAAGCCATTCGAGGTGAGTTTCAAATTTATACTCTTTTATCCTTCCATTATTGCCTTTCTTTTGTATCTGTCTCCTTTTTTCAGCTAATGTCTTCCTCATTTTCTGCTTCCTTGTGCCACCATTTATGCTGTAGAACAGACATCTCAATCAAAACCAGTGTGTAGCAGGTGCATGTGCAGACAAATCAGTTGAATGTTGGTGGTATGGACAGGTGAAACACTAGACAAATGGATGAGTTGAACAAGCTGACTAGTTAATGAGTGAATAGGAGAAAGAACAGACACTGATAGTGAAAACATAGGAAAACAAAGTGCTGTGTGATCCATATGGTAGTGTATAGGAGTAAAGTATAAGTGGACAGACATAAGATGCGGCTGTGTGTGTGGGCTACCAAGAACATCATCCAGATGATTTGATTTTCTTGTGGAATTGCTGACATACAAAGACACCATCAGCCATATCCATTGCTTGTGTTTCTGGGTTTAATGTCTGTCCTCTTCTCATGCAGAGAGGTAATGTCTCTCTCTGTCTCTCTCTGTCTCTCTCTGTCTCTCTCTGTCTCTCTCTGTCTCTCTCTGTCTCTCTCTGTCTCTCTCTGTCTCTCTCTCTCTGTCTCTCTCTGTCTCTCTCTGTCTCTCTCTGTCTCTCTCTGTCTCTCTCTGGTTTCCCCTTCCCCAGAGTTGTGAATGGGAAGTATCTCCTTGGATTGCACAGTGCATCAAGACTAAGCCTGTACCCATCCTAAACATACCTGAATAAAAGTATTGTCAGAAGGTGTGCCTGATGGACATCTACCTTTTCAAAGACAGATGCCAATGCCTGATGTTTGCAGCAGCTGGGGGAGTTATGTTGCCTGGCCCAGTGTCAACTGCAGGACATGTGCCTTTGAGATCTGAGTGAAAAAGTATTACAGTGTAGGTCAACTGGTCTCTTGGCATTCCAGGCCTTAGCCTTACATCCAGACCATCCCTTTCTGTGTAAGACACACTATTTTCTGGTTATGCAAGGAATGCCGTAGAACTTACTTTCCACTGGTTTTCAGTAAAAGATCAAGGTAAGGTCCCTCTTATGCCTGCTAGTTAAGACACCATCATACTTTTCTCATGTCTTCTGCTGGTAAAAAGCCCCTCAACCAAGCTGATAGTAGTTCTCATCAAGAAAAATGATTTGAGAGGACACACTTAGGTTTGCACACGGATATCTCTGTCATCTGAGGGTCATATCCCAATAGTGCAGCACAGATACTACCTTCGGCAAAGATAAAGAAGAAGAAAACAACTTGCTTTGTAGCGGAAGTACCAGGGAAGGCCTGTATTTTCCTACTTCACAGTTGTGAGATTAAAAGAAAAAAAAGTTATTGCTGATGAGAGGTCTGGCCATTTCTAGGTCATAAATCTAGTTCCAACAAATTAGTCTGGGCATTCTTCTGAGTCATAACAAGATTCATCCCAGAGCATCTCACTTTTAAATATAACTTTCTAGTGTCATAACCTTTACTGTGAAATTAGTCAAAGAAGTCACACACAGCAACACACAAAGATGAAATGATTACCATATGCTTGCTGACTATGATAGCCTATTGATACCCAGAGACAATCAGTGTTTGAAAAGTGATACCTTAGCTAGAATTATGTGCCTTGCAGGCACAAATGTCTTACTTCAT